AAAATCTAAAATCTTTCATCACCTATAACCTTACTGCCCTGATCCAATCTTTTATTATCTCTTACCCAATGATTACAATAACTTTAAGTGGTCTTGTTTCCACTATTAACTCCAACTCCTACACTGTATTCTCAACACAGCACACAGAGTGATTCTTTGTTTTCTCCCATGTGATTTGAGTGAAGGTTTACAAATTACTTTTTTTTTAATTTTTTTAATTGTGATTTAAATTTTTTTTTTGTTTTTGTTATTTTTTTAATTGTGATTTTAATGAAAGTTTATAGAAAAGTTGGATTTTCATTCACTCACTGTTGCATATTTTACTCCCCTTCCTCTCTCCCAGTATACTTTAAAAAAATTCATTGTTACAAATTACTTTTTAATTCAACCATTCATACACATTTTGTTAAATCCATTAATTCAATATGCACAATTTATTGCACTTTCTCTACTTTCTCAGTGCAGTTTTGATTTTCATGAATTTTTTCTGTATCTGTGGATCATCACTTTTTTTAGTGATATGCTGATCAACCCCTTACTGGATACTGCCTTCCCTTTCACTGATCTTACTATATGTCTGTCATCTATTTGTTAATTTTTTTACTTCTCATCATCGCTGGTAACCATCTGAGAATGAATCTGTGTATAACCCTTTCTTTAGTTTTTCCTAAATCTAAATCTGTGATTAGCAGAGCACCATATTAGAAAGCTCTATTTTTCCTTTTGTGACTGATTTATTTCACTTATCATAATGTCCTTTAAATAAATCAATGTAATAGGGAGTTCTGGTAGCCTGATAAGAATTCTTTTTTTAAAAAAATATTTTATTATTGTGTGTGTGTGTGTGTACCATCAAATTGGATCTGACAGGTACAGGAGGAGATTGTCCCTCCTTCTCCAACAGAGCATCTGGTGGATTCGAACTGTGTACCTTTGGGATTGCAGTGCAGCTTCTTGCCACTAGGCCACCAGAGCTTGCCAAAAGTTCTTTATAAATAAAAATAGAAAACTTCTGTGCTCAGAGAAAGAAGCCCTAGTGGACTTTTTTTCCCCATATATATTTTGGGTGAAGATTTTTCCATTCGGCAGTTTATATACTTTGTTTTATGGCACTGATCACAGTTCCTCCAATGTAGCATTAATCATCCCCCTTCTCCCCTTTTCCCCATCATCATTCCTCCTTTCCTAACCCTTCCTACCTTCTGAACTTTGTCTTTGGGCAAATGTTGCCCTTTTGTTTCAAATGGTTATTGTTCTAAGAAGTGAGTACCTTCCTAGTGGTATTATTCACTTTGCTATTTGGTGGGAAATTGAGCCTTGAAGGCAGTTCTCTTCTAGACCTACAGAGTGACTAAGGATCGTAGTCTTGGAGGTTCTTCCAAAGTCTGTCTGACCAGTAAGCCTGGTCATTCTTATGATTTCAGTTTCCTTCCACACTTTATTCCCACATAATCCAAGACTTTCTAATTTAATCCTTTTTAGAGCAGTCAGCAGTAGCCAGATGCAGAGGCTGAGGGTCAAGTGGTCCTTTAGCCCTTTGAGTTGTTTCCATACTGCTATGATTTTCTTCCGATTTTTACTCCAAATGAGAAGATATCAATAGTTACACCTGAAATGAGCATTGTACTATTTTGAGAATTGAGGTCAAATTGACAGCAGCCACTTGAAAGATGAGATAGTGACCTTAGTGAGTAGTGTGTTTATGTTAATGATGGAAAAACTGTAAAAGAGAATGAGAATGAGCTTTTGGCTGCTGTCTGTACTGGCACGCTCCTGAAGTCCCCCACGCCTCACTGCCATGCCTTCAAAATTGAGGAAATGAAAGACTTTGTGACCATAGCCAGGCGAAAGGATGCCAAATCTGTCAAGATCAAGAAAATAAGGATAATGTGAAGTTTAAGGTTCAGTGCAGCAGGTACCTTTCTACCCTGGTTATCCCACAAAGAAAAGAGAGAGAAACTGAAGCACTCCCTGCCCCCAGGTTTGGCAGTGAAGGAGCTGAAAGAAACTAACATGCTGATTTGAACTATAATAAAATTGTTCAAAACAAAACTAGAGAGTGAGAATGATTATCACTTGCAGAATGTAGTCAATGTCACTAGGTTGTCTGTGTAGAGATGGACACTTGAACTGCTGTATGTTTTGCTGTGAGCATATACACCATGATGTTTTGGGTTGGGTTCCCCCCCCTTCTGTTCCTTGTTCCCATTCTAAATCTTAGTATATTTGACAGGTGTGAAGAGGACAACATGAACTTTACTCCAACACATACTCCTGTTGGCAGAAAGTAAGACATTTGCTTTGTTTGAGTTGTTAAATTAAGGAATCAAAACTTTTATAGTTTTAGTCCAAAGTTAGCAAAACAGCTCAAGGGGACTTAGAAACCTTTCTCATAAGCCTTAATTAAAACTGTATTAGACCTCATTTCCTTATTCTTAGAGTACAGAATCAAGATTAGAAATTAGTGCATTTTAAATGGTAATGCCAGATTTTTGGCCATCTGAGTATAGTGTCAGTCCTGAAATTCAGGCAACAACCAGTGTACAGACACAGGGATTTTCCATTCTGATTCTGTTGTCAGCTTGCTACAGAACTTGACTTCGTGTCATACTGCCACAACTCTCCTTTGTCAAACAGCTAAAATAATTGTTATCAACCTATTTTCCAGGATTGTTAAAATTGAAAATATGAAACTTGAAAGGGTATTTCTGTTACAAACTTCAGTCATTTGAGAAAAGTAGGGTTTGTTTGGGAATTTTTCCCTCCTGTAATGCCAGCTGTGAAGCTCTGGTGACTTACTGGCAAGAAGCTGTGCTGCAATACCAAAGGCACACAGTTTGAGTCTACCAGCTGCTCTGTGGGAGGATGAGCAGTCTCCTCCTGTGTGATTAACTGTTTCTGAAAACCTGCTGGAGGGTCAGTGCTTACTTAATGGTATACAACAATAACAATACTAACTAAGAACACATTTTAAGATTTCTTCTGTATGTGCTCACTTACTAAAAGACTGAAAAAAGTACTGACCTTGACTGTCCTTAACTGCTGTTGGGTTACTGCTATAAATTTTCTCTATGCAGATGTTTCTTTTTCTGTATTGTGATATACAGTTAACCAAACTAGATTAATTTTCACGTGAGAGTTTTTCCTTCTGCATCATTTATTTTCTAACTCATTGCTTTAGCTTTAGTTTCTTGTTTACTAAAAACAAACCAGCCTTTGATCAATCTTTTTACCATTGAAACTGAAGAGGACCTGAAGCGCCTGCTGCAGAGTGTCAAGGACTGCAGTTTCCAGTATGGATTGAGGCTCAATGTCAAGAAGACAAAGATTCTCACCACTGGACCAATTGGCAGCGTCAGGATGGATGATGAAGTGATTGAGATTGTACACAGCTTTAGTTTGCTTGGCTCCACAGTCAACAGTCTTGGCACCAGCAGCCAGGAAATTAAAAGGCGCATTGCCATGGGAAAGTCTACTGTTAGGGACCTCTCCAAAGTACTGAAGAGCAGTGGTGTCTCTCTGGAGACTAAGGTGCATCTGATACAGGCCATGGTCTTCGCAATCACTTGTTATGCATCAGAGAGTCGGACAATGACCAAGGAGGATAGAAGGAGAATTGATGCCTTTGAGCTGTGGTGCTGGAGAAGAGTATTGAGAATACCATGGACTGCTAGGAAAACAAACAGATTTGTCCTTGAAAGGGTTAAACCGGGTGGCTCCTTGGAGGCAAGGATTCTGAAGCTCCGTCTAACATACTTTGGACATGTTGTGAGGAGAGACAGGTCCTTGGAGAAGGACATCATGCTTGGGAGGGTAGAGGGACAGTGCAGGAGAGGAAGGCCCTCTACGAGGTGGATTGATTCAGTGACTGGGGTAATTGGGATGGGAGTGTCAGAGACAGTGCAATTGGCACCGGACAGAGCGGAGTTTAGGGCTGTTGTACATAGGGTCGCTATGAGTCACAAGCGGCTCAACGGCACATAACAACAACACAATATGACAACTAGTCTAGGGAACTCAAGAGGAGCTGTGATGCCAAACCAAAGGCATATGGTCAAATCCACCATTTGCACGTTGGGAAAAAGATGAGCAGTCTCTTCTCATGTGATTTACAGCTTCTGAATACCCAACAATACACAGCAAGAAGGACTCTTACGATGCAGAATTCAGATATCTAAGATCTTTGCAAACCAGTATCTGATGTAGTGGGGCAGTTGCAACCTATTTTCTGATCCTTATCTTTATGGTTATTGTTTTCTTCCTTAATAGTGTTATTGCTTATTTACATCTAACAAAAAATGAACTGTTTTGTTTTACAAGTTTTGATCCAAATAATAGCATTCACTGTGTATATCCATATCTTTTCTTGTATTGCTTGTTTGGTACATTCATATTCATGCAGGGATCTCTATAATAAATTTAAATAGTATTCTACTGTTAGAATCTATCACAATTTGTTGTTTACTGTTTAAACAATGTGATAATAAGGCACTATGAACATTTTCATATATGTTACCTTGTGTGTAAGTTTCTCTGGGACAAAAAGAATGACAATTTTGTTACCTACTGCCTGTTTGCTGACTATAGTTTCACTTGTTTACACTCCACTAGCATATAAGCATTCCAGTTGCTATGTGTCTTAATATTAAGCTTTCTGCTTGTTATTGTCTGATATTACCTAGTTTATGTTTTTTTTTGTAGAAAAATTATTTAATCAAAACAAGTTTACACATTGAAATATATTCTATTTTTAAATCTAGCTTTAACACATTAGTACTTAGAAGGCAGTTCATAAAGCTATTTACTAGCCTGTAGCATCAGACCTTCAATATTCATGTATAGTCTTAAGTACTTTAAGAATGTAAACCTTCTTTTTATAAAAAAAATAATCTACATAAATATTCAGACACTTTCAGCGTCAATGATTTTATCCTTCATAATTTTACTTGGGCTAACAGCTGTCTCTCAATAGTATTTCCTCCAGGCTCAGTGATTCTATCATGTGGAAAGAGATGCCTTTCACAGATTCAGTGGAGTCCACTCCCTTGCCTTCTGTTGAAGACCGTCTGGCTTGCCTCTGCCCTTCTCAGGAACTTCTGGAGTATTTCCAAAAGAAGATGTCTGAGTGTGAGACAGAAAACGAGGATGTGTTGAAGAAATTGGAACTATACAAAGAAGCTTGTGAAGGGCAGGTAAGAAAAAGATGTTTCTTAGATTCATCAAGGTTTTTGTCCTTTTAGGATTCTGATTAAATAAGTCTGATTTATTAGAAATGCCAGAATGTATCACAACCAGGTTTGTTGGTGTGGGGGGTTTTTTTAAATAAAATTTTTATTCTAATACTGGTTTACTTACAAAGTTAATACACATCATTATTCACATTGAATCTTGCCCACTTCCTTTACCCACCCTTGCTCTTCTTCTACCCATCAAATTGTGTGACCCTATGATTACCCCCCTGCCCACCTAACCCCTCTGATCCTACCCTCACCCTCCTTGGCTCCTCATACACATTTTACTCTTTACCTTTCTATTTCTACAATAATGGTCTTATACAGTATTTGTCCTTATGGGACTGAGTTAGTTCACTTAGCATAATGCTCTCCAGTCCCTCCCAACTTAGGTAGTAATTTACAAAATCATTGTTCCTGCGTGTTGTGTAGTATTCCATCGTGTGAATATACCATAATTTCTCAATCTATTCAATTGTAGTTGGACATTTGGGCTATTTCCATGGTCTTGTGATGGTGAATAAAGCTCCTTGGAACTCTGGTATAGAAATCTCCATTTGTACCTGGTTCTCTGGAACAAGGAGGGGGAAGAGGCGACTGAGAGAGGCATCAAAGGCAGCAAGAAACAGGCTGGGTCAGGAAGAGAGGCGCTATCAGTCTTTTTTTTTGTGGAGGCCCTGTGGGATTCTGTAAACTTTTGATATGAGACCCTTGTCTGAAATGGTATTGCCAAAAGTTTTTCCCTGTCAGTAGGTTTTCTTTTCACTCTGCACAACCAGTATTTAATAAAAAATTTGGTTTTTTAGAAAAAAACCAAAACTTTCCTCTTTGATTCCCTTCTAAACCTTCAGCTTCTTCGTTGGATCATAATCCTCATATAGAACTGCTCCATCTGTAAACGCTTAAAAACTCTTATGGCTTGGCCTCTTTGTACTTCCACTTCTTTTACCTTTTTATACCAGACTGCTTTTCAGTATCATTATTACTCCTTTGATAGCTTCTTGACTTTTCTGTTTTCTATATGCTTCGTATCATCATCCAATACCAAGACTACATGGTTCAAAATCAGGGATGCATCCTATTTCTCTGTCTTTTCAATCTATATGTGGAACAGATCATTTGTGAGGCTGGACTTTATGAGGAGGAATGTGCCATCAGAATTGGAGGAAGACTTATCAACAGCCTGTGTTATGCATAATCTTGCTTGCTGAAACTGAGGAGGACCTGAAGCATTTTCTGTAGACGGTCAAGGACTATAGTCTTCAATATGGATTGAAGCTCAATATCAAGAAAACAGATTCTAACCAATGGGCCAGTTGGCAGCAACATGATAGATGGAAACAAGATTGAGGTTGCTAACAATTTCAGCTTGACAGTTCCACTATCAGCACTTCTTGGCACCAGCAGTCAGGAAATCACAAGATGAATTTCTGTCAGGGACCTCTCTAGAGTGCTGAAGAGCCACGATGTCAGTCTAGGGACCTAGGGTGTGCCTGCTCCAAGCCATGGACTTTCCAGTTACTTGCAGTGCATCAGAGAGCAGGACAGTAAAAGGATGACAGAAGAAGGATTGATGCCTTTGAGTTTTAGTGCTGGAGAAGAGTGTTAAACCACCATGGACCACCCAGAGAACAAACAGGTTTGTCCTGGAGTGGGTGAAACCAGGCTACTCCTTGGAGGCAGTGATTTTGAAGCTCTGTCTCACGTACATTGAGCATGTGGCCAAGACAGACCAGTCCTTGGAGAAGGACATCATACTTGGAAGGGTGGAGGGACAGTGCAGGCGAAGAAGACCCTGAATGAGATGAATTGACCCAGTAATTGGGATAATGAGGGTAGTATATCAGAGACAGACTGGCTCAGGATAGGACAGGGTTTGGAACTATTGTACATAGAGTGGCTGTGAGTCGTAGCCAACTTGATGGCACATAACAGCAACAACAAACCATATTATGCTTCATTGCAGTGACTGTGCTTGTACTTAATAGTCTTCTGCTCCACTTTAGTTGTGACTTAGTCTATCTCTCTGCCACCTACAGCTAGTTCTTTCTATAACAGGGTTTCTCAACCTCAGCATTATTGATCTATTGGAACAGGTAATTCTTGTCAGGGACTGTTCTGTGCATTGTTGAATATTGTGTAGTATCTCTGGAGACCACTACTCCTTAGAAATCAGTAGTATCCCTCCCACAAAGTATGAATTAAAAACATCTACCAACATTGTCAGAAGTCTCCTAGGAGTAGAGTAGAGTAAGGAGAAGTAGTACAGGGGGAAGGAGAGAGTAAAAATTATTCCTGGTTGAGAACCACTGTTTTAGAAAGATCCCAAAGTATTACAGAATAAATAGATGTTGAACCAATGCTGCTGTTCCATCAGTCACTACATAGCAGTTTTCTTATCTGTCCATTCTTCTTCATCCATTCTCCTCCCCTTCCACATTTGTGCCATACCTTCATTATTCCCTTCCAAGCTGCACTCCTTAGCTTAACTTCTCTCAATAGATAATCATACTTATAGTTTACAGAGAAAATAGAGGTAAATGCCATTAACACCCTTTCTGCCTAATCCTGTACAGTCATCTCTTTCTTCTTTTTTACTGTTATTCAGGCTAATCCAACACTTAATTCTGACCCCAAGTATTGCTCCACCTAAGAAACGTCATCATTTCTCCTCTTTGAGGTATTTTTTGTTTGTTTGTTTGTTTTTGGTTTTTTTCTTTGAGGTATTTTTAACCCTATCGCTTGACACTGTCTTCATCTCTGCAGTTTATAAACATGCTCAAGATGTTCCCCATCTTAGACACAAACCTTTCTTTGTTGTGCTTTCTTTCTACCCACTCTCTTATAGAAATGGCTTGTACTTTTCTCACCTACAATTCAGGATAGTGTGATTCTCATGCCTTCAGTGACTCTGTAACTGCAACATTGTCTCTGTGGTCACGACTTCACTGAAATAACTTCTGTGGTCTTCAACTACCTGTTTTTCTAAAGCAGCTTTTTTTTTAAAAGCCGCTTTCTTATTTTTATAGTTTATCACAATTGACTTCTCCTTCTAAAACTCATCCTTTCTGTGTCATTTTAACTCTGATTTCACCTCACCTTCCTGACTAGGTCTTCTCAGTCTACATCTTCAGCTCCCCTTGTTTAGTCCGAGTTCCTCCAGATTACATCACAGATGATCTCATTGTACCTTTACATCATGTGTATGGTAAGTGCTTCCTAATAATTAACCCTCTTTTTTCTTGAGCACAGTATTAATATGCCCATACCTGATCCTCCCTTTTCCTAGCCTAACTTTTTATGCATATGCACACTACCACTCCCCTGTTTTTTGTCTTTGTTCTGTGTCTTAGTAAATGTTTCCACTACTGATGGTTCTACCCAGGCCCTTATATTCTGTCCTGTTGATCTACTTTCAAAGTAGTTTTTTTAATCCATTCTGACATCTCCGTCACTGTTTCCAAAATGCTAGTTCAGACCCTTACTACATCTTATCTGAACTATAGCAGTATTTTCTATGTCAGTATTTCAAATCCCTCAGTTTCATGTGTGGCTTAGTTATCTAGTGCTGCTATAACAAAAATACCACAAAGATGAAAACCATGAAAAAATTAAGGAAAGCTTTATCCACATGGAGAGCCAGTTTTGGAGGGATGACAGGAATGGGAAGAAAGGGAGAAGGGAATAAACAACAAAAACTTATTTTCCTCACAGTTTGAAAAACTCAAACTCATGGCTATTTATACAGTTCCAACTCATAGTCCATGGAGGTGTCTGCTTTTTAAGGCTGTAAATCTTGTTGAGAGGAGACTGCTCACCTTCCTCCAGAGGAGCTGATGCTGGTTTCGAACTGCTGGAAGTGCTCAGTCTTTGTATTTGCAGCACAACTAAGAACCACCCTAGTTCTCTTCTCAAAATTTAGGAGACTGTGGAATTGCAAATTTAGAGTGTTGGCTCTAGGAGAAGGCTTTCTTTCTCAGCTCTGGGGGAAGGTCTTTAACTCTTTTCAAATGCTGTTTCTTGGTTCCTTGGAGATCTTGTAGCAAGGCATATGCCTTCCCTATCTGTGTTTGCTTGCAGATGTCTTAAGCAACTTTTTAAATATAAAAAGAGAATAACTTAAAATACAACTACAATACTACTACCTCATTAATATAATAAAGCTCTGTTTCCAGATGAGATTATAACTACTTGTATAGTAGTATTTGCAGCACATAATTTGGAGGGACACAGTTGGATCCATAACAATATCTCCCTAGACAACCTCTTTGCCCTCTATTATTTTGCTGTTATATACCATTGAGTCACCTGCAACTCACAGTGACCCTAAGTATATTAGCTCTGAACCCTGGCCTGCCCAGAGCTAATCTCATCATCTTCAACAAACCTAATCCCATTTCTCCAGTCACTGAGTCAATCCATCTCATCCTGGGTCTTGCTCTCCTTTGCTGTCCCTCCACTCTTCCAAACATCATGTCCCTCTCTAAGGACTGGTCCATCCTGGCCACGTGCCCAAAATATGTGAGATGGAGCTTCAAAATCCTTGCTTCCAGATAACAGCTTGGTTTCACCTTTTTCAGGACAGACCTGTTTGTTCTCCTGGCAGTCCATGATATATGTTCAACTCTCTTCTCCCTCACCACCCTAGCTATTATCCAGCTCTCTGATTAATAGCAAGTAATTGTGAAGACCATGGCCTGTATCAGGCCCAGTACTGAAATACTTACTGTTGGCTAAACTTGCAGGGCTCTTTCATAGTTTTATATTTACTTGTGTGCTGTAGATGACTGTTACTGATGATTGCAGTTAGAATAATGAGAATGGCTCAAGCAGTGGTATATGACGTGTAGGTGGTTTCAGTAATTTGATCTTTATTTTTTCTTTTATATTCCTACTTTTTTTATTGTCACCCTTTTCACATACACTACACAGTGTTGTCAGTAAGTTAAGTATGAACTAGG